TCTCCTCGCTCATCTTCCCGTTGCTCCTCTCCACGTCGCTCCTCTCCACGTCGCTCCTCTCCACGTCGCTCCTCTCCACGTCGCTCCTCTCCACGTCTCTCCTCTCCCCGTCGCTCCTCTCTCCGTCGTTTCTCTCCCTCGGCTGCAGAGAATCTCCGATGGAAAACTCCATATCTAGATCCATCTTTGTTAACATTGGACTAAGAGAGTTCAACGGATTTCGAGGTATAGGGTTTAGTTGATGATAGTTGATGATCGAGTATCCAGATAATGGCATTATTACCAATACTAGCCAAATTATTGCCTTGTATTGGTTTGAACTTGTCAATCTAACTACAATGATCTGATACTTTTGTGACTGGTTTCTTGTATCTATTTTAGTTTTAATCCTTGAACATTGTAGCACAGTTTTATCATTTTGTTTCTCTTTTCTATTTGCTTACAACTGTTAATACCCTGAAATCAGTTTTCTTGATGCGTGGATTTTGTGCTTGTAATATGTGTTGGATTAACAGAGCCACTCCAGCTCCATCGTCAAAGCTGCTATCTATTTGGACGTGAGAGAAGAATCGCAGACATTCCTACTGATCACCCATCTTGCAGCAAGCAGCATGCTGTGATTCAGTACAGGTAAATATTATGACCATGGATCTAACGAGAAGAGGGGCTTTAGGTTAATATTAATGTCACGGTGATTGTCTCTGTCTCAGGGAAGTGGAAAAGGAGAAACCAGATGGTATGATGGGGAAGGAAGTGAGGTAAAAATCTGTTTGCTTTTTCACTTTGCTTTAAATTTTGCAAGTTTTTTGGGTTTAAGATAAAACCTAATTTCCCTTAATGTCACCTTGCAGGCCTTACATTATGGATCTTGGCTGTACCAATAAGACTTACATCAATGTGAGTGCTGAATTGCATCCTTTCTTTATTGTTTCTATATAATGGTTTAGATCAAACGTTTCTCATGAACTTTTTTTGTTTTTTGCTTTTTCTCAGGAAAGTCCTATTGAACCAGAGCTTTACTAGTATGAGCTTTTCGAGAAAGATACCATCAAGTTTGGTAACAGCAGGTATGCTGGTTAAGAACATTGCAGTTTTTTTTCTTTTTTCATTATGAATTACTATCGTGCCTATTCTCGTTTTGATCAATCTTTGCTTGTTTGTGTCCATTGTTTTGGTTAACACAGTGTTGCCTCCTGGCATCTGCTTTCACGTTTTATGGCAGTGTCTTGACATATTTTGTTCTTTTGGTTGCAGCCGTGAGTACATACTATTGCACGAGAATTTTGCTTAGTGAATGAAATCAGAGACACGCAGCAAGGAGAGCGCTTATCTTAGGGATTTAAGAGATAGTTTTAGCAGCTTCGTTTCTGCTTTTCTCGAAACTGATTTCTACTGTGCTGGTGACAATCTCGATATTATGTTAATAACATTTAGAAAGCTTATGCTTACTTAGACATATCTTCCGATCTAATGTTGAATTTACGAGAGATTTTAATTTCTATTTTTGGTTTTGTAAAGTGACCCTTTGCTAAGAGAAAAAGGTTGGCTTTTGGGTAATGAGATCAATCTGTACTTTATTGAAGCTACTTGAGGCATTGGACCAATCCGTGGGTTGTAAACATGTCAGAAGAAGCAATGTACAAAAGCATGGTTTTACATCGAAGTGTTTGAAGTCATTTAATGTAGTATCAGTTTTAAATCCTAAACCCTAAACTTTTACTACATTAAATGACTTCAAAAGCAAAAGTTTGACTTTTAGAGCAGACTTCTAAACTAATGAGTAAAGAAGTCTGCTATAGTAGAGAAGTCTGCTTATGAAGTCTACTCTACAAAAGAAGTCTACTTGAGGTTATTTTTGCAATTGACCAAAATATTGACTTTCGAAGCAGACTTCTTTTGACCACTTTAGAAGTCTGCTTGTAGGTCAGATTTGCATTTGACTGAATCTTAATTAATTTAATAGCAGATTTCTTTAGAAGTCTGCTATTTATTTATTTTTTGGTAGCAGACTTCTTTTTTTTAGTCTGCTATAAAAGTCAAAAGTGGTCAAAATCTTGGTCAATTGCAAAAATAACCTTTCGAGTCAAACTACGAAATAGCAGACAGAAGTCTGCTATAAAAGTCAAAGATCGACAATTTTTTTGGTCAAATGCAAAACTAACCTTTTCTTCTCGCAGACTGCAAAAGAAGTCTACATGATTTTTTTTTGTTTACAAAGGACAATTCGCAGACTTGTAATATGAAAAAAGTCAATTGCAAATCTAACATTTGCGTTGACTAGCAGGCTGAAAAAAAGTCTGCTTTCGTGAAACAGAGCTAAATGTTAAAGAAAATGAAGTAGATGTTTACCTACTTCCAATTTAAACTCGATTAACTTTGACATACATCCAGAATTTTGTATAGCACCGATAGCAAACTAGCTAAGTCATTGTTATGCAAGAATCTCCAAAAAATAGATGATTTATGAAATTGAAAATTATGAAAAAGAGCATGAAAGAGTTTTTTAGATGAAATTGGAGAGAAATTTGTAGGTAAAATGAAGTTATAAGCGACACAATAAGCATTTAGAGCTTCAAAATTGGTTGGGCAAACATTTAAGGCTTCAAAATTGGTTGGTTATGGTGGTTGGCAAAATTGAAGAAGATGGTATTTTCGTAAATAAGTGATATATTTTAGGATGGTTGTGTATTTTTGGTATTTTTCAAAAAAAAAAAAATTGAAAACATAATGACATTTTCGTGAATATATGTGGTTGTGAGGAGATAGTAGGAAGAAAATGGCATTTGTTGAAGAGTGAGAAAAAAAAAGTTATTTTTACATTTGACTTCAAATTGTAAGTCATATATGCAAGTACCATTTATTTATTAATGAGGTCTCGCAATATATTTTATTCGCATCGTGCACCGTCTTGTTCCTTTTGACAACAACCTATTACCAATATTTTAATTACAAATTTTCAATACACAACAGAATATTGGAATAATTCTACATCTCAGATATATATGTTCACGTGCATATTTCAAATCTAACTAGGTGTACAGCTAAAGTATGGGTCAATTATTTATAATGACCCAATAATATGTTTCGTAAGATATCAAACGTTTTTAGTTTATTTCTCTGTTTATATATCGATTATTAGAGGGTATTATTAAGAAAGGACAAACCATTAAGAAAATTTTGGTTAGTGGTTACTAAACTTAAGAGCCGAAAAAGATAACTGAAAAGACATTATGAAAATAAAATGTACATAATATAAAACAAGTAAATGCTATGAAAACAACTTTGTCCCGTAATTAACTTTCTCGTACGATTAAAATTCAACATCATGGATCTAAAAGTATATTACCACACTATATATATACAAGAATATTAGAGGATAATCGATGTTCTTTAATCTGCATAAGTTTAGGAAAATATCAAACAGTAGTTTTGTTAGGTTCATGTAATGTATCAAGTTTTATTTTTATTTGTTTTTTTTTGGGAATTCAATTATTCGATCATAAATGGTTAAAAATCCGTCCATGATTGACATCAAATCGTTTTGATTGTTTCTAACTAATTTGACATAAATTAAAAACGGAAAATATATTATAAAAAATAATAAATAAATAGTTGTGAAACCTTCGAGGAAGGTTGGGGGGAAGGTGCAAATGACGTTGAGGACTAAAGTGCGTTACTAACGTTAGAGACCGTTACACACATTTTCATAAGAGTCCAAAACTGGCACGTGGCAGTTTGCTCAATGGACGACAGTTAGTTGTTTGTTGAGGATTACAGCCTGGATTTTTGTTTCTCTAATTTTTTATTTTGAATCATAAGCAAGAAATTTTTTTTGGGAAGTGATGATTTCACATTCCAATTGGCCAACTCCCTTTGTCGTTTTTCGCCATGTCATCAAATTTCATTTTACTTTAAAAAAAATTTCCGACCACTCACTTTTATCTTTTGTGGCCGTTTCTTTGTAACAAGTTTATGAAACAGAATATAAATTCGAATTATGAAATTATCAGTATATTGTAAACCTTTTTAATTGACATCATATGTACATTTCTTTCGCTGACTAAACTCATTGCACCCAGCCTTTTTAAAAACAAAAACAGAAACTGTTTTCATGAAAAACTGACAAAAGAATTTCGTGTTTGTTATATCCCAAAATTGTAGCATTAAGCTATTCACAATTTTAATTTTTCCAGTTAAAAAGATAAACTAGAAGAAATAAGAGAAGCTCAATATTAAATCCATGATTCAAGATAGTTACAGAAATTGTTTTAGCCAGTCTAACTAGTTTTCTAAAAATTAGTTAATATTTGATAACTACTAATTAAAAACAAGAAACTGTAATCACAATTTTGGGTTGCGTTTACTCTGGCATTATTATTGCCTGGTCCATTATATGTATCAAAAACTGCAACTACTTTAAACTTATGTAATTTCAAAAAAACAAAATTCAAAATAGGCGTTTTGTATCTTCAAAAAGAAAAAATACTCCATATTTATTTTTTGTTAAAAAGTAAAAGAAAAGGTATACTGGTATAACCTAACCGTTATCATCTTTATTTTTCAGATATTTTAAATTTTATTTATTTTCAAAAAAATTAAAACCACTTTCTACAAATTTTCACCTCAGATTGTGCGAATAATATCAGAGCTTTCCTTGTAGGTTTCCGTGATTTTGTCGCTTTAACTTCCCACAATAACCTACGCGCTTATCACGCGCGTGAGCTCACTTCTCTTTTGCTTTACACCCTCGACTGTATCACACGCCCCCATCGTACGATCACGTAACAGAAAAAAGAGAGCTTAGACACATAGACGCATCGAGATCATGACACGTGTTCACCTACAGCTGTATCCCAAAACTTTCAAAACCGCTTGCGTGGAAGAAGCGGTGCCCATGGGGCCATGACTTTCTCCACCGTCTCTACCGGTTACCGGTTACTTTTCCTCAATCTCTCTTTCTTTGTATAAATACCTTTTTTTCCTCTCTTCAGTTTCTCGACCTTCTTCTTCCTCCTCCTCCTCCTTCAGCAACAAAAACTAATTCGAAAAAAACTCTCTTAAAAGATCCGATTCGATTCAATGGCGGATCGGGTTAAAGGTCCGTGGAGCCAAGAGGAAGACGAACAGCTAAGGAAGATGGTGGAGAAATACGGACCGAGGAACTGGTCGGCGATTAGCAAATCGATTCCTGGTCGATCTGGTAAATCGTGTCGATTACGTTGGTGTAATCAGTTATCTCCGGAGGTGGAGCACCGTCCGTTCTCGCCGGAGGAAGACGAGACGATCGTCTCCGCTCGAGCCAAGTTCGGTAACAAATGGGCGACAATCGCTCGTCTTCTCAACGGCCGTACGGACAACGCCGTGAAAAACCACTGGAACTCGACGCTCAAGCGGAAATGCGGCGGCGGAGGTGGAGATGTTAGCTTCGCGACGGCGACGACGACGGAGGAGGATCAGGATCGGCCGAAGAAGAGGAGATCCGTGAGCTCTGAGTCTGCTCCACCGGTGGACACTGGATTGTATATGAGCCCGGAGAGTCCCGCCGGGATTGACGTCAGTGACTCAAGCACGATTCCATCTCCTCGGTCTCCGGTTGCTGCTCAGCTTTTCAAGCCAATGCCGGTGACCGGCGGATTCACGGTCTCGCCGGTAGAAATGTCTTCGTCTTCGGAGGATCCGGCAACTTCGTTGAGCCTGTCACTGTCACTGCCTGGATCTGACGCTAGTCAGGAGTCGAAGAACACGAGTTCGAGCCACAGCAATTTGCTGTTTCCGCGATTTGAGAGTCAAATGAAAATCGATGTAGAGAGGAGAGGAGAAGCAGTGGTGGTCGGACGAAGAGCTGAGTTTATGACGGTGGTGCAGGAGATGATAAAGGCGGAAGTGAGGAGTTACATGACGGAGATGCAGAAAAATAGCGGCGGCGGTGGATTCGTCGTCGGAGGTTTCAGGGATAGTGGAATAACACCCAAGGTTGAGTAGTTTGGGAATGTGAGAGAGTTTAGGAAATCAAATCGGTTTGGCAATTTGAAAGAGCAATTCATTTTTGGGTTGTGGTGAAATCAAAAAAAAAAAAGAAGAAAAAAAATGTACAGAGGAATTAAATTAAGTAATAAAAACTTCGATGGAATAATCTTAAAATCAAATTTAGAGGATCTCTTTGTTTTGATGATCATCGATTTAAAATTTGAAGTGAGTGGAGTTTATGATATGGAACCAAAACCTATGACCAGTAAAGCTCAAAACGAGAATGTGTTCTTGGATTTTATGGACTTAACCCGTGATTAGTGAGACCTTTAATTGTGACATAGCCTGCGACATAGATACTGCCGAAATCAATAAAAAAGTAGGATAACAAGAAATGTTCTACATATTCTCTAGAAGTATTTCTATAGGTTGTTAAAGAATTTCATGATTATATAAATCCTCATGTAAGAATACTGAAACCCTTCTATATTCTGTAGGAATCGTTCAACACCTTGTACATTTTTTTACCACATTCCACAGTCGATACTCGATCGGGCTTAAACCGTCACTGAAGCAACATAGCCTGCGACATATGTATATAAGACGAGGTAGATAATAATTTATATAGATCTAGAAGAAATTCTGTAGGTTGTCAATAAATACGAGGATAAACCTGAAAAAAAAATACTATTACTGTTATAACACATATCATATATGGACTCTTATACCGGCCCATTAGGCCCATCAGGGCATTGTACTTAACATAGATTCCCTATGTACTCTATATATACATTCCAGTGATTAATAAAGTTTCTAAGTTTTCACAACACGTTATCAGCACGATAAGACTCTCTGAGCGAAAAACCCTAATAAATCCGGCCACCACCAAAACCCTAAAAGTAAGTCGAAACTTAAAAGACGCATATCTTCCAAACCGTGAGGAACCAGAAGACGATCTACATATCAAATCGAAGCCCTCGACGAGACGAATCTACTGGTGAAAACCGTTTGTCGATCCAACGTCGGACGCGCCCTCACGCACACTTACAGTACACGACGATCAACCGAAAAAAAAAAAACCAGATCCGAGTTTTTCCTTCTTCAACCAGCAGCTTCTCCAGTTTTGGTGATCAATCCTTGAAATTTGTAGCGGCTAACTGAGGTCTATTAGCTCCCAGTTTCATTAGCCTGTCAGAAATCCAAAGGTGGAAAAGGTATCTTCTAAAACAGAAAGCCATAGAACCTGTTGTTTAAACACTTCAAAACCCTATAAAAAAAAAAAAAAAAATCGATCTCTAATTGATTGAAAGTGTTTGATACTCTGATGATTGATTGATAACTTGTTGATTGATTGTTTAAATTACAAGTTTATGCATGTTCAAAGGTTTTAAACTCGTTTTATAAAACCCTAATCTACAAAAACCTAACAACCGTTTTTGGCCATGTTTATGGCATAAACCTATTCGATTTTCTTCATGTTTAATAAGCTTGTTGCAGCTTATTTGATTGTTGATTCTCTTGCTTGAAACACTTGATTGAATAAACTAAGAAAATCAACCCTAAATCCTAAGCTTGATTCACGATTTTGTAATCTTCAAAATCGTAAGTCATAATGCTTAAACCCTAGTCCTTTTCACGTGATTTCTTTGTTGTCCTTGTGAAATTATTAAAACCATCGACCACAGATCCTATAGATCTCGAAATCACATCCAAAATATGTTTTCCAAACCGTTAAAACCCTAGATAAAACCCTAATCATATTCGGCTCCCCTAGGGTTCCTCCTAAACCGCCTAAAACCGGCTAAACCTGGTTCTCATTAACCGAAATTAAATCACAGCTATTAAACCGACATCATGTTCGGGGTAACTAAAACCATACCCTTTAAAATTTACTATTTCCGAGAAAGTTCCCTCTAATAGAAAGTTTCCTCATATAAAAACTTTCCTCATATAGAAATTTTCCCGACATAGAAACTTTCCTCATTTAGAAAATTACCCAAATTAGAAACTTTCCAAATTTAGAAACTTTCCTAAAATAGAAATATTCTCAAAATAGAAAGTTTCATCATCAGCATTCAAAATTTTCTCAAAACAATCCCTAACAAAATCAATCTCATGTTTCAGATGTCAAACATTCAGAAATGTGAATTCGAGGCCCTTCACGTCTCCGGGGATAACTACCTCGAGTGGGCCCTAGACATGCGCTTGTTCCTCGCATCGAAAGAACTCGATGCGTGTATTACCGACGGTAACACCGCATCCCGTAAGGGACAGTCTCAGGCGATATGTCACATACGCCATCATCTGGCCCCGAGCCTTAAGCAGCAATATCTCACTCTTGAGAATCCACTTGAATTGTGGCAAGCGCTGAAAAAGCGATATGACCATCAGAAAATGGTCCAGTTGCCTCAGGCAGATTTCGACTGGAAGAACCTTCGGTTCCAGGACTACAAATCCGTAGATGATTACAACAACGAACTCTTTCGTATTGTTGCCATCCGGAAACTCTGTGGCGAGGATGTGACAGATAATGATCTCCTCGAGAAAACATTATCCACATTCAGCACAGAGAATGTTGTGCTCCAACAACAATACCGTGCAATAAAACACACATTGTACGAAGACTTGTTGTCCTGTCTTCTCCTCGCTGAGAAGAATAACCAGCTGCTTATGAGGAACAGCGCTATGAGGCCCCCGGGATCGGCTCCTGTCCCAGCTTCTCGTCAAGAGTCCTACCATGTTCAACCCGATAGATCCTCAGATCACCGCCGTGGACGTGGTAATGGACGTGGTAATGGCCGAGGACATGGACGTGGAAGACGTGGACGCGGACATGGTCGCGGCAACCGACCTAACCTCAGTTATGGTCCTGGTCGTGGTCGAGGCATCACCAAGCCGACCCGCCACACCAACCCCGATCACTCTGCTTGTACCAGATGTGGGATGTTCAACCACCCAACAAAGCAATGTCGCACCCCCAAGATCCACTGCGATCTATACCAGAAGTACGGAAAAGCTCCTGCTGAAGCCAACATGACTCAGCCAGTCGATGCTGCTAACCTGGAAGGTGACGACCTCCTTGATGATGAGAACACCACAAACGAGCAGACCGACCCCATGGACTATGAAACAGCTGATCTCCTCGATTAATTCAATCATCTGAAACTCTGATACAATTTGATTTTGTTCTTTATTTTTTTTCATTTTGGGATTTGTTTCATTTTTTTTTTCCATTTGCCTTTATTCTCAGACACTGCTTTACTTTATGATTTATCACATTTTCTGAATTCCTCAATATGATTTAGCACCATCGCGGGTCCCTCAAACCTTATCGAAGGATATGGCCATGCCTATGTGTTGCTATCAAATGACACACAACTTGAAATACCAGATGCTCTATATTCTCCTAGTTCGAAGAGAAATCTTCTGAGCTTCAAGGATATAAGACAGAATGGTTTCCACATAGAAATCCAAGGTCAAGGGAACAAAGAATCCCTCCTAGTCACTAAAACCGTAGACGGCCATAAACAAATCCTCGAAACCATACCCGCGCTCTCTACTGGACTTTACCATGCTAAAGTCAGTATGATTGAAGCTAATACCACTCTCAAAGCCCGGTTTACTGATTATACTATTTGGCACGACCGGCTCGGTCATCCCGGTGCAAATATGATGCGTAAACTAATTCAAAACTCTCAAGGGCATACCCTCAAAGAAAACCGAGCTTATCCTCAACACCTCATGTGCACAGCTTGTTCTCAAGGCAAATTGATCACTCGGCCTTCACCAGTTAAAATCTCTAAACAAACACTTCATTTCCTAGAAAGAATCCAGGGCGATATCTGTGGACCTATACATCCATCTTCCGGACCATTCCGGTACTTCATGGTCCTTATAGACGCATCGACCCGTTGGTCATATGTTTGTCTCTTGTCCTCTCGGAACCAAGCCTTCGCTAGGTTCTTGGCCCAAATCATAAAATTACGGGCCCATTTCCCTGACTTCCCACTAAAGACTATCCGCCTTGACAATGCTGGTGAATTTACCTCACAAGCGTTTAATGACTACTGTATGGCCATGGGGGTAACCGTGGAACATCCTGTAGCACATGTCCATACTCAAAATGGATTGGCTGAATCATTCATTAAACGCATTCAATGGATAGCCCGACCATTACTCATGAGATCAACGCTCCCGGCCTCAGCATGGGGACATGCAGTATTACATGCTGCTGAACTCATACGCATCCGACCATCTAGTGAACACAAATATTCCCCATCCCAACTACTCTCGGGTCATGAGCCAGACATCTCCCATCTCAAAACATTTGGGTGTTCAGTATATGTACCCATTGCTCCACCACATCGAACCAAAATGGGACCTCAAAGAAGGATGGGAATATATGTTGGTTTTAACTCTCCCACCATCATAAGATATCTCGAGCCAACCACTGGAGATCTCTTCAAGGCCAGATATGCGGATTGCCAATTCGATGAATCGGTATATCCCTCTTTAGGTGGTGAGACAAACAAGCTGGTCAAAGATCTTTCATGGAATCAAACATCATTAAATTGGCAAGATCCTCGGACTCTAGAATGTGATTCAGAGATCCAAAAGATTATTCATTATCAAAAGCTAGCTAATCAATTGCCAGATTCCTTTGCTGACCCGACCAAAGTAACCAAATCGTACATCCCAGCTTGTAATGCACCAGTACGAATAGCTGTCCCAACGGGACAGACCCAAGTTGCTACAGAGTCTGCACCACGTCTCAAACGGGGCAGACCTCTCGGTTCCAAAGATAAGAATCCCCGGAAATCAAAGAAAGGTGCAATAACCGAAACCGGGATTCCTGCAATATCAGACATAGCCGCGGCTGAGACTCAATCTAATGAACCCTCAATGGAAGTTCGGGACGCCGAATCTCCAGGTTCAGAAGATAACAATGAGATCTCCATCAATTACAATATGTCCGGAATACAATAGAATCGAAAAGAAGTCGACTTAAATGCACTCTTTGCATACAAAGTAGCACTTGATGTTGCGCTCACGCAAGAGGATCTAGAACCCACGTCAATAACACAGTGTACACATCGAACAGATTGGCTAAAATGGAAAGAAGCCATAAACGTGGAGTTAAAGAGTCTCAAACTCAAAAACGTGTTCGGTCCGATCATCCGGACCCCATCACACATCAAGCCAGTGGGCCACAAATGGGTCTTTGTGCGCAAAAGGAACGAACTCGGTGAAGTCGTCCGATACAAAGCACGGCTTGTAGCACAAGGATTCTCACAGAGACCCGGAATCGATTATGAGGAGACTTATTCTCCAGTGGTGGATGCAACAACATTCCGATTCCTCATAAGTCTGGCCATAAGAGAAAATCTTGATCTGCGGTTAATGGATATTGTAACCGCATATCTCTATGGGCCCCTGGACAACGAAATATATATGAGACTCCCAGATGGCATTGAACTAAAAGACAAAAATGCATCTCGAGATCAATACTGCATCAGGCTGAACAAATCCTTGTATGGACTGAAACAAAGTGGGCGTATGTGGTACAACCGCCTCAGCGATTACCTCATCAAAGAAGGCTACAAAAATGACCCCATCAGTCCATGCATCTTCATCAAGAAGTACTCAAACAAAGGATTTGTAATCATAGCAGTATACGTGGATGATCTAAACATCCTCGGAACATCTGGTGAGATCTCCCAAACAGTCGACTGCTTAAAAACAGAATTCGAAATGAAAGACCTAGGCAAAACAAAATACTGTTTGGGATTACAACTTGAGTACATCAAAGGAGGAATCCTTGTGCATCAATCGGCTTATATCGAAAAGGTACTCAAGCGATTTAATATGGACCAAGCTCACCCATTGCCCAGCCCAATGGTAGTTAGAAGCTTAAGTGATGACCCTCTTGGTCCCAAAAAGGATGATGAAGAAATCCTTGGTCCTGAAAAGCCATACCTCAGTGTTGTAGGAGCGTTAATGTACCTGGCTAGTCACACTAGACCAGACATATGTTTCGCCGTGAACCTCCTCGCTCGATATAGTTCATCTCCAACTCAGAGGCACTGGAACGGTATAAAACATCTCCTAAGATACCTTCGAGGTACTCAAGACTTAGGACTCTTCTATACTAACCAAAATAAAGATGGGTTAGTCGGCTTCGCCGATGCAGGATATCTATCAGATCCGCACACTGCCAAGTCTCAAACTGGCTACGTTTTTACGCATGGAGGAACAGCCATCTCTTGGAGATCAATGAAGCAGACACTCACTGCCACTTCATCAAACCATGCTGAAATCCTAGCCATTCATGAGGCTAGTAGGGAATGCGTCTGGCTGCGCTCCATGACTCAGCACATCCGCAGAGATTGTGGTATGGACGAAGACACACAGCCCACGGTGATGTATGAAGACAACGCGGCATGCATAGCTCAGCTCAAGGAAGGATATATCAAAGGAGATCGGACGAAGCACATTCTACCGAAGTTCTTCTCAACCTCAGACTGGCAGAAGGACGGCACTCTCAGCGTTCAGCAGGTCCGATCCAGTGAGAATTCAGCTGACCTCTTCACCAAATCATTGCCTACTTCAACACACCGGAAGCTCGTCAAACAGATAGGAATGTATAGACTTAGAGATCTGCAGTGATGCTACAATCAGGGGGAGTAATGCGTGTTGTACTCTTTTTCCTTCATCATGGTTTTGTCCCACTGGGTTTTTCCTGGTAAGGTTTTAATGAGGCAACATTCCTCAGCGCATTATCGAGATCCCGATTGAGTAGCTGACCCGGTTCACTCGTCCAAGGGGGAGTGTTATAACACATATCATATATGGACTCTTATACCGGCCCATTAGGCCCATCAAGGCATTGTACTTAACCTAGATTCCCTATGTACTCTATATATACATTCCAGTGATTAATAAAGTTTCTAAGTTTTCACAATAATTACTTATTAGATTATTGAAATTCCATTTAACATGAAGAAAAAGTTGAACTGTGGTACTTTGGAGCTCAAAACTTGATGTCTTCAATTAGATTTTTTACTGAGATATATTTCGAAAATCCTTGCAATGTCTTGACTGTACCTGACAATAGCCTTCAAAACAAACCGTATCAAAATATCAGAGTTTGCAAGTTCAAACTTCAAAGTGTTTTTCTCAAGTTAAAAAGAGAGCAGGCTTATAAACACAAAACAATGTCGTTTTGGTTTTACAAGGCCTCCCTCGTTGCTGGCCTGCTGGGTTTTTGTCTCAAAAGCAAAAGCAAAAGCGGCTTATGGTTCCGTAAGATCTAACATTTGACTTTTTCCCCTCTTGACTCCTCTCTCTCTCTCGGCCTTTTATTCCCCTCGCATTTTCTCCGGCGATACGCTCACATCGGAGAATCCTGCCGGCGATTAGATGGCGGTGGCGTCGATCTCCGCGACGCTCTCATTCCTAATTTATTTCTCTCTTCCCTGTTCAAATGCGGCTTCTGGTGAAAACATCCTCCACCAATCTCTTCCCGGCGCTAGATCACCTCGTCCCATGGTGTTCCCTCTGTTTCTCTCTCAAGCCAATTCGACGAGATCCGTGTCTATTCACCATCGGAAACTCCACAATACCGACTCAAAATCACTGCCTCACTCTCGCATGAGACTCTACGACGATCTTCTTCTCAACGGGTAAACGATCTTCTTCTTTCGACGCGGGTTCGTTATTCCTTTTTCAACATATTCCGATTCTGATCCGGTGTAGAATTTTTCTTAATCAATCTGTAGGTATTATACGACGCGGCTTTGGATTGGTACGCCACCACAGATGTTTGCTCTTATAGTGGATTCTGGAAGTACTGTTACTTATGTTCCTTGTTCTGACTGTGAACAGTGTGGCAAACACCAGGTAATGCTCAAACTGTGCCCAATCTGAAAACCCTTTTCGTATGTAATCATCACTGCCATAAAAATCTTCCCTTTTTGAAATCTTGATTGTGAAAGAACGAGGCTAGTAGTATGTAAGTTGGAGAGTCGTTTCTGATGTGTGGCTTGTTGTTTATGATAACCAGGACCCAAAATTTCAGCCGGAAATGTCTAGCACCTATCAGCCTGTGAAGTGTAACATGGATTGTAACTGTGATGATGATAAGGAACAATGTGTTTACGAGAGAGAGTATGCTGAACACAGCAGTAGCAAAGGTGTGCTTGGTGAAGATCTAATATCGTTTGGCAATGAAAGCCAGCTAACACCTCAGCGAGCTGTTTTCGGCTGTGAGACCGTGGAAACCGGTGATCTCTACAGTCAACGCGCTGATGGCATTATTGGATTAGGCCAGGGTGATCTCAGTCTTGTGGATCAGTTGGTGGATAAAGGTTTGATAAGCAACTCTTTTGGTTTGTGTTATGGAGGGATGGATATTGGTGGAGGCTCGATGGTTCTTGGGGGTTTCACTTACCCAGCTGATATGGTATTCACTGACTCGGACCCTGATCGTAGGTATGTTCCCAAGGACTGGTTCTGGTCTGATTGGGGAATGGATTTTGTGTAATCCTAACGGATACGTTTAATACCCTTTCACACATTTACTCTAGTTTCGGGATGGCGACAGTCCATATTACAATATAGATTTGACGGGGATACGCGTTGCTGGGAAGCAGTTGTCACTGAACTCGAGAGTCTTTGACGGAGAACATGGCGCTGTTTTAGACAGTGGTACAACTTATGCTTATCTCCCAGACGCAGCATTTGCAGCATTTGAGGAAGCTGTAAGGCTCTTGTTTTTTGGTCTATATTTTACCTTCATAACGGTCTGTTAGTTTCCGGTTTTCTTACATTGGGATCTTATCTTGTTGTGTTGTAGGTTATGAAAGAAGTTTCCCCATTAAAGCAGATTGATGGCCCTGATCCAAATTTTAAAGATACTTGCTTTCATGTTGCTCCAAGGTATTATGTCTTTTGAAGCTTGTGATTTATTTCAAAAATTTTCAATCAAGTGAAGTTACTGACTTGGATTGGGTTATGCTCAAGTAACGATGTCTCAGGACTTTCAAAAATATTCCCATCAGTCGAGATGATGTTCAAGAGTGGGCAATCATGGCTCTTGTCCCCTGAAAATTACTTGTTCCGAGTAAGTTTAACCTTTAATGAAGCTCCATTTTCTCTTGTTAGCTACTACTAGAGTAAGCAACATTATTCTGCAGTATTTATCAGTCTGTTTGTGTCTAGTGTTCGTTTAGCCACAAAGTAGTATCTGATGTGATTACTTTTTGTTCAATAAAAGCATTCCAAGGTGCACGGCGCATATTGTCTTGGTGTATTCCCAAATGGAAAAGATCATACAACTCTTTTAGGAGGTGAATAGAAGAAATCCAGTTTTCTGTTTTTGTTATCATTTGGCTACTTTCATTTTGTATGCCAAACGATTTATTGGTAACGAATGGTTTATTATTATCAGGAATTGTGGTTCGCAACACACTTGTTGTGTATGATCGTGAGAATTCTAAGGTCGGATTCTGGAGAACCAATTGTTCAGAGTTATCGGATAGGCTTCATATAGACGGTGCACCACCACCTGCCATTTTACCTTCAAATGATTCAAAACCATCTCTCAATACATCAAGCAATCTCCCAGGTTAGTGACAGCTGTAGATTTCATGTAAACTATGTTTTCCAAGAAAATGCAAATAAATAAGAACCTATTTTCATGTCTCCTGATGTTCTGCGCGTGGTATGTACATATTTCCTCAGGGGAGAGTCAATTTGGTCAAATAAACCTTGATATTCAACTAACAGTCAATACGTCATATCTGAAACCTCGCATTGAAGAGCTCTCCAATTTGTTCTCGAAGGAGCTCGATGTCAAATCTTCACAGGTGAGCCAAATTTGATAAACACACAATAAATACTGTTTTTGCTAATATTGAGTAATATCCCTCACAGGTTTCTTTATCGAATCTCACCTCCAAAGGAAACAACTCTCTCATCAGAATAGTTCTTGTCCCTACTGAAACTTCTAATTTGTTTTCAAATGAGACAGCTACGGTATTTGATTCTACAGTAAACTTCTCCTTTACATTGCTCGAGTTTTAACCTCTTACTTAAATTTTCCATTATGCGTCTTGTAGAGTATAGTTTCTCGGTTTACCAATCATCAAATCCAGCTGCCTGACATATTCGGAAACTATGAGCTTGTTAATTACAGTCTCGAGCCTCAAAGAAAACGGTACGTACGCCATTCATTCTTAACCACCAACTAGATTGTCACTCCATTTGTCTCAAAAGAAAAGTTTTGTTTTTCTTTTGGTTTTAGGACAAGGTGGCAGATGAAGAACATCATTGTCGTGACAGCAATTGGGAGCATCAGTGTAATTGTTGGGTTATTAGCTTATGGAGTTTGGTCTATGTGGAAACGCAAACAAACATCGAATCCATATAAACCTGTCGATGATGAAGCTACCATAGTCGCGGAGCAAGAACTGCAACCTATATAAACATCTAGTAGTAAATAAAGTCACCTTATGTTTTATCTTTATTGGTTAGTAAATAATGCCTCTTATTTTTTATGAAACTTTTATATGCTTTTTCATTAGTTTTTACCCATGTTGTTTTTTATTTTTCTGTCTCATCAATCATAATATAGTCATTTGTAAAAGATCATATAGTGCATGAACAATCCAGGTTTGAGTTATTTGCAATTCAAACATGTTCGAGTTATTTGCAATTCTTTTCATGTTTACCAGAATTTTTAAAAGTAAATTACTGAAATCTATTGGATATTGCAATTCACATGTGTACTAAATTAGAAGTTAGAAACAAACAAAATTTGAGTTATTTAGCCTGTGTGACAATGCATACAAAATTTGAGTTATATTTGTGTCATTTTTGTTTGCATTTGTTTTAGTATTTAGTGGTATAGGAAATAGTTAAAATGCATACAAAAAAAGTTAACCCATTTAATATTTATTTATCATCACGTTCTTTCTAGTAGATTTGTTCTCGTATTGTAGCCGTCCGATTTTCACTTTCCTTTTGAACTAATACATGGTGAGACTAGAGAGATAAATCGTCTATGACATCTACTTTTTTGCATCAAATATTTTTTTTTGGTTTAAAAATATACTGATTTTTTTTTTGTTGTTGTAACAATATTGACTATATTTTGAGCAAAAATTGAACAAAAAAAAAACTTTTTTCTCTTTACCGTCTGAATTTTATCAAAAACTAGAGACAAAGACTGTCAAAAACTAAATAATCCAAAATAAATTTGGAAAAAATACAACTAATTATCTGTTTATGTTAAATGGTTGTACCTACTTATGTCAATCTTTTTTTAAATGGAAGTCAAATAACTTGGAGGCAAAATTTTGCTTTCCCAATTAATCTCCAGAAGATAAATTACAAAAGATATCGATATACTTTATTTTTCTTTTGCTCTAATAAAAAGAGACTAAATGTGTTGATGAGGATCATAAAAAATTATTTGAGAATCGTTGAGAATCGAAAAAAAAAGAAAAGAAATAAAAAAGAAAAAAAAAAGAAAAAAGAAAAAAAAGAAAGAAAACAAAAAAGAAATAAGATATTGTATAAATCAATTTTTAGAAAAGATAATAAATTGGAGAAAAAGTGAGGTCAAGTGGAGAAAAACTTATTTTACGAAAAAAAAATTTACAACAGTTTTGCGGATTCATCTCTCTCTTCTCTGAGAAAGACTATGACAAGTTTCGCTTTCTTCTCTCCTATCGGCGATTGAAGAAGCGAACTCAGAGTTTTTTGCTTTTTCTCTGTACTCTCTTTATAATCTTTCAGAGAGATTAAAGCTTTTTCTCTCATATCTTCGATCATGGGATCGAAGTTTTAGTGTATATCGGATTCCAACTTGATCGGATAATAATGTTCCGGTTTTGACTGGATTAGCTAGCCCTTTCTTCTCTGGATTTGGACCTCTATAAATGATTTGAGGCGGTGGCAAATAGATCTGGCGGTGAGTATCGAGCTTCCTTCTTCAACTTTTGGATCATCCTCTTTCGGCTAGGAGATTGAACTCTCCTTAAGTCTCTTTTTTTAAGAGCCATATGGCGTTGGGTGACGTGGTCTAGAGTCAAAGACGATCGATGTTGATTTCATCAGAGATGTAAGCTTCCAACAAGTTTAATCGGGGTCTAATCAGAGAAGAATCAAGCGGTTAAGGAACAACAATTTGAGGAAGATGAAGATCCATTAGAGTTCACATAGATGGTTACACTCTCCGGATTATCGGTTTCCTACGGAGCTCTGACCGGTTATGAATTGACGGCATCTTCAAACTGTGAGCCGACATCTACCCAAAATCTGCAGTGTGTATTTACACGTATTTTAGATTTTAATATTGGGCTTAAATGAGATTAAGTTTAAATGAAATTGAGCGATTGATTTGATTTTTAATGTATGGGTTTGGGCCTCAATTTTGCTGTAAATTGCCCGTTTTGAAGCCTTCCTTATAAAACGAGTTGACCACAAAAAAAACTAATCTCTCTCTTCTCTGTTTCTTACTTTCTTGACTCTTTCTCTCTCTCTCAATCTCCCAGGGTTTAGGGTTTAAGGCTCTCCAATAAATTTGGGTTTACGCTAACAGATTCTGATTCATCAACTCGCTTTCGTGCTTGTGTGTTATCCTCTTAAGATTAGCGAATCACTCAATTTCGAGCAATTTCTCAGTAAATTTCCATTTTTCTGGTTATAGCCTTGAACCACTTGGGCTTTGGAATCAGTAAGATCAAATTTCACCGCTTTAAATTAGATTTCGCATGAAAGTTGAATGCTTTTTCTTACTTGTCTAGTCGTATTGTCTATGTCGATTTGTTTTCGATTATAGCAGAACAAAGTTGACTGCTTTTTTTTCCTTCTTGGGTCCTAATCTCATTGTCTCTATCGAATTTCTGATTATTTTTTCGATTGTAGCCAGAACAAAGTCGAAGGCTTTTTCTGAGAGGGGCTTTTATGGCGTTTAAATCAAAGCCAAGATCTGAAATGGATATTCCAGACCGATCTGCAAATCAACAATCGGAAGACGCAAAAATTGATATCTTGAAGTGTGCAAATCAGATGGATGAGTTTCAAGAGGAAGAAGAGGTTTCGTGTCAATCCTCTTCGAGTTCTTTTGGTGATTCAATGTGTGCTAGTGATGATGATGAATTTGGTTTCGAAGCCCAATCAATGTTGAGCAAAGATTATCCATTGCCTGAAACTTATGATGATGGGACTGACTTTTTGGGTCTGAGGAAGAAGAAGCTGACGGATGAGTGGAGGCGATTTTGCCAGCCTTTAATGTGGCGATGCAAGTGGTTAGAGCTCAAGGTTAAAGAAATTGAGTCTCAAGCAAAAGTGTATGAGAACGAAGTTAGAAGTTACTATGAGACTAAACAGTTTGATCTGGAGAAGTCGAAATTGAAAGGCTTTGATGGGAGATCGATTCCTTTTCACGACCAAACTCAGAGGATGAATGTTTTCAAGAGAGGAAGAAGGAAAAGAGTGGAAGATACAACAGATGTTGCAGCTTATATGTCTAGCCATAACGTTTTCTCTTATGCAGGTAACTACATTGCAGCTTTTCTTTTAACTTTCTTTTGATCGAGACTACAACGTTCTTAACTTTGTGATCTAACTTTATGTTCAGAAAAGCGGAAGCCAGCAACTTTCAAGGCTCAGTATCCTGTTCCAGGTGAGATCTATGCACATTGTTCCAGTTTCTTAAAGTTTGATGATTGTTTGGTAAAAAAAGGGGAGCTTTAGCACTGATACTTCAATGTTATGTTAGATTTTGGTACAGGCCGCAAAGCTATGTGCAAGGAAGATGAAACTGAAGATGATTGTCTTGTTTCTGAGTTAGATTGTTCTGATGATTTTCTAGCAAAGATTCTGTGTAAGATTGATGAGGCGCAGGATAAAGCGAAAAGATTGAGGAAGCGTGTTGATCAGTTGATGTGCGAATCTCAAACTGCTCATACATCATTGATGCCTCGAACAATAGCTCGATGTCGAAGTGACTTTACGGTGCATACTGTTAAGCACCAAGCTCTTGTGGAAGAACCATTGATGCCTCATACAGCAGCTCATAGTCAGAGAGAAGCGACTGTGCAAATTGGGAGGCAACGTATATCTGCTGATCATACCGAAGATTTATTGATACCGCAAGCTCCTCTCGTTCAAAGCGATGGACAGTGTTTGACTAACAACTCTCCACTTTCATCTGGAGGTTTAAGATTTAATACTTTCCTTGAAGATGTAAGAAATTTGTTTTCTTTAACATTTTCTTATTATAATGTTTGTCTGGAGTTGAGAAACAAAGTATCAAAGCGTTTAAATGGTTGTTGTTCAGCTGCTGATGGATGATGAACCAGAGATGAATGATGACGAAGCAGAAACGGGCGAAGAACAGCTTGACTATTTCAGGAAGCTAATGAATGAGATTACAGGTGCGCATCCATCAGACGAAGCAGATGAAGAAGAAGATCCTACACCGGTCGCTAAGAGGCATAAAACCTCTCACTGAAGCTCTCTCTCTCTGTGTACAGAGCCTTATCATCCTGCTTGATCAGCCAAAACCCATTAAGCTCTTCGAAAGCAGTAATATTGGTTGGTATATTCTGTTCATTCTTCTTCTCTCGACTGACTCTTTGCATTTGGCTTTTTGAGAGTTATGAGACCACAATAGGTTTCAGAGTTTGTGAATAGCTAAGTTGCTTAGAATCTTATCATAGGCTATTTTTCCTTGTTCTATATCATGAGACCTTTTCTGATTCATAAATTCAAATCTTTGAGGGCTTTTCTTGTGGAGAATTCATGTGATTGTGCACAAGAATCAAAACATAAAGATTCTAAGCAACTTAGCAATTCATGTGGGTGTGATTAAACTAAAACCTTGTTTTTGTTTCCTTAATAAATACTAGTAGTTAAATTTTGAGTTTCTCCGACAGATACACATGTCAAGTTGAGAACTCAGTCTGAACTACGAAGTGTTCTTTTCGCCTAAAAAGGATCTTTTCTTGATTTGCGAATCTAGAAGAGAAATAAATAAAATTAACGTGGAAGATGAGTCAGGTTAGTGATGATTAGTTTTACCTGTAAAGACCAAATATTCGTGATGATTAATTGAGTTTAGAGAGGCTTTTTAGGCAGCCGCATTTTCTTGAGACCCAAACAACACTCTGATATTTGTAGACGACGACAAAACCTTTCTTCGTATGGGACAGTTACTTCACTCTCATTGGTTTTCTTCTTGAGGGGACCATAAATCCAACCTTTCTTTTTCATTTCTATTCCTCTTAAATCCAATCTTGTGTATGTACACCACAAATAAATCTTAAGTATTAACAAGCGTAATGTCGTACTTGGACTTAAATTGTATAAAATGGTTAACCTTTCCATTCTTATCAAGTACTAAATATCTAAACATCAAACTTTGTTTGCTAACAAAAGAAAGCTTAGGAGTTTCATTACTCAGACCATAATTTCACTTATAATTGTGATGCTTTCACGAAATAAACTTCTTCTTTTTTTTTGTATAAAACTTAAAAAGCTTTATTTTTGTATTTTTGACAAACTTTGAAGATTATAACTTGGTATGTTTGAATCTAAACTTATTATGTAATTCCTAGAGCATCGACATGAGAAAGTCTTATAGATGTAACCAAAATGGTGGACATGGGATGATTTATTAAATTTGGAGTAAAGATGATCTTATGATCACATCAAAATGTCAAAACCACCATCGTTATTATCTATCACATATCTAGAATTAGTGTGAACACAAATCTTTTGTTTTTTCATATACCTAGTTTCGGGTAAAGAACACGAAACCTTGATGTATAGTATTAGTAGTCTAATTCATTTTGTTATAAGTTAGTATTAAACTACTAATCTTGGAACTTGAAGTGGAAAACTAAAGGCTAAAAAGAGGAGCCGCCATAAACTTTCCACGCCGGCGAATATTTATTAGTATTCGTTTTCTTTTGAGTTGAAATTAAATATTAATTCATTCTAAAGAGAGTAATTATTTGGTCTTTTCCTCTAAAGCATACATAATTGTATGGTTGGTGTCTTCTTCTCTTCTTCTCTTTCAAGATTTATTAGTTTTCTCCTTGAAAAAAAAAACAGAAGGTAAATTAAAGAAAAGGAAGAAGAAAATGCTCAATTTCGATGAACCACAATGCAAAAATCCATCCTGTTTCTTCTGCAGCATGAAAGAGACGAACCCTTTTCGTCGAAGATCGAAACTCGCCGCAATTTTCAAAGAGATTCCTTGTACCGAGTCCAAAGACCATGTCTTGGTCTTGAGTGGTCTGTGGAACATAGCCATGTCCGAGCCTGACGATCCTGAGTTTCCATCACTCGGTTTGTTCGAGTGTATGTCAAAACTCATACAGAAATCAATCAGAAACAGAGCTTGGCTTCTCAAAGACCAAAACATATTCATTCCTTATTATGCAGCTCATATCATCGGATCATATGTTATGAACAAGGAAGATTTGGCTGCAAGAGCGGTTGATTCAAAGGTCTTTGTTGTTCCTGCTTTGTTGGAGCTTCTTAGAGGGAAAATCAGTTGGGTTGAGCAGAGAGCCGCGGCTCGAGCACTTGGTCACTTAGCTAGCCACGAGAAGAGCTTTGAAGCGGTTTCTTTGTTCGAAGAAGAAATTGTGAAGCTTTCGATGGAAATTGCTAGTAACTGTTTGAAGAATGTTTACAGAAGCTTTCTTGGGGTTGAAGATAGGTTGAGGTTGAAGTATCAAAGCGATTTGTTGACGAGAGGGCTAGGTGGGTTAGAGACAGAGAATCAAAAAGCAGAGGAATGGGGGATTCAGCTACAATGTTGGTCTTTATATCTGTTGAATTGTTTCGCATTGCGAGGTAAGTCTATTGATCGAATCTGTGAGGGAGGTTTCTTGAAGAAAGTGAATGAAATGTGGAACGGTTTAGTAAACCGGAAGTCTCCAGGAGGAATTGGATTGATTAAGACTCTGTGTAAAACAGAGTTGGGTAGAAGCAAAGTAAGCGAGGTTAAAGAAGTGATTGAGAGACTTTGCGATCTTTCGAGATCGTCTGATGATTGGAAAATTATGGCTTTAGATGCCCTTTTAATGCTTCTTAGAGATTCGAATGTTAGGTATCGAGTTATTGATGTTTTAAAGCATTGTTTAGTGGATTTAGCAGAAGATAAGGTTGTTGGAGACAGAATAGCTCAGATAGTTTTACAAGATTATCACAAGATTAAATATAGTGGCTTGAAGATGAACAGCGAGGACGCTCAGAGAAGCATAGAGAATCTTTGGGAGATTAAAGTAGAGAGGAAGAAGAAGGAGAAGCTTATGAGTGAAACAGAGCTTGGAGAGAGGAGAAAGATGGTGAAATCGTTGAAGAAACAAGGGAAGAAGAAGTTTTTGATGGGTTTTGTAAAAGAAGCAATGGAGATTTATACAGTGGGGATTGGTTTGTGTCCATTGGATATGATACGAGATAGGGTTGTGTTGTATAGCAACAGAGCTCAGTGTTGCTTGTTGTTGAAGAAAGCTGAGTCCGCCATTAGTGATGCTACTAGAGCTCTGTGCTTATCTGGTGTGGATGATCCACATGGTAAGAGTTTGTGGAGAAGATCTCAAGCGTACGATTTAAAAGGGTCGGCGAGAGAGAGCTTGATGGATTGTTTGGCGTTCGTAGATCAACGACTCAAGCGTTCTAGTCCGGAAAAGATACCCTACTACGCGACGCAGATGATAAGAAAGCAGATGAGTGCCACGTGGGTTTTTTCGTGGGTTAATTTCACAACCAGAAAATCGGACGGTTGAAAGACGAAGGAAGGAAAATAGTGAGCAGGCGGAACTGTTTTTTCTGAATTTGTAAACCTGCTATAAACTTAATAACTTTTAATGAAATTTTATCTTCCTAACTCGTGGAGAAAACCAACTAATACAATTTTGGTTGAGCATAAAAAAAAGTAGAAACATTTTTTTTTTAAAAAGTGAATCATTTTGTTTTGCTCAGTGCTAGAACTCTAGCTAGTGGTTACAAACTTGAGAATTAAATGCTCTATGAAATTAAATTGAAGTTGGTTTTAATTAAATTGAAGTTATACTTTATTATTTTGAATGTGATTATAATTTCACAGGAAAAGTTGTATTGGTTGATATAGGAATGGAAACTGGAGTGAACGGAAAAGATGAGTTTAAAACACTAGCAAAATCAAACCATCCCCTTGGCATTATTTACGTAAACACAGCTCTAGATGGAAAAGAGCTTGTGGCTCGCTATCAATTGCTTCCTTAAGTTATCATGTACAAGAAATCCAGCGATGAAATTAGCAAACCATCCCCTTGACATATATGTCTTGAAGAATTCAAATCTTACGGCGACAATCAAGTTCAAAGGAACTGTCGTCGATGTCAAACCAATGCCAGTTGTTGCAGGGTTCAGTTCTCTGCCAAATACCATCTCGGGATTCAGAACTACTATGCCATCAACTACACATTTTATTCTGATGGCAATCCCCAAAATTATATATTGCATATATTTTCCTTATTTTTGCCTTTCTTTTGCTTTGTTTATACTTTTATTTAGTTTTTATAATAATTATGACATATTGATGGAGTTTTTATAAATAAACTTGTCATTATATTCATTAACGAACTTAATATGATTTGTACAATACCTTTTTTATATGCATTACCACTTTACATTTTAAGTTATAAAATGTTATACAGTTCTCTATCTTTTTTTTTTGATCGAAAAACAGTTCTCTATCTATAAAATGTTCTTACAACACATTTGTTATCTCTCGAGAAGTGTTAGTTAAATTGTTTGCTGAGTATAATTCACAAAGAATGTATTTTGTGCATATCAAATAATTGAATATTGATTAAACTACACATCACATGTTTAGGCAGTCATTATAGTAATTGGGACTGAGGATATTATCTGAGATTATTTATTATGTAATCCAATCTGATCCATTATCCAGTTTAGCTGCAGACTGTCCAGCTGATCCAAAAAATATGATATCTGAGATGATGTATTCAATAATGCTTATTTTAATCTGAAACAAACCTGTTCTCTTATAATTATGTCCAATGTCGATGTTTATTAAACGAAAATAATTTTAATACATAAACTTATTTAGTTGATCAAAATATATCTTCTTAGACTTTTCAGTTTTTAATTCGCAATGGCTTTTTTAACGACAATCTTCAAGACTCTAAATGATTTTTTTTTTGCGAAGTCGACACCTTTTAATCTCTACTTTGATACCTAAATTCTTTTTAAAAAAATCAAAGAGACGCCTTGGCTAAATCGTTAAGACATTCGTCCGAAACCCAATCTTCTCTTTTGATCTCTCTCACAATCGTTTTAAGGTTCACTAATATGTTAGCTTGGATCCTGATTTTAACGGTGATTCCTCTCTTTTCTCTCTCGATCGATGTTTTGGAAACCCAAATATTTTAAAAGAAACCTAAGACCATTTTGCATTGTCTCTCCAGAGAGATATTCACAAGCTAAGTTAGGACTTAGAGTTTTGTATAATTATTTGAAAAAGTGAATACGGCTATTTTATTTTGACTTCACTCTCGCTCTTCCCTCTTCACTTTATTTTGTCGTCTTTATGGTAATATATCCTGAATGTATCTGTTGTATGCTATATTTTTATATCCACTTAAGATATATTACCATATAGACGACAACAATTTGTTTACTATACATATTTATAGTTGTTTTGTTCCTACGATTTAGTCTTTAGTCAATAGTCTTGTAATTGGTATAAGCTTCCTAATGCTGAAATCAAATCGCTGTTAAGTTTCCTAATAGGGAAAGCGGCCAAATCGTACCTCAACTCGTTCAACTGGTACCGATTAGTACCTGATCAATTTTGGTGTGCTAATTGATACCTGAACTTTCAAAAATTAGAATATGTATACCCCAACGTATATTATTTTGGTTAAAACCATTTTTGACCCGAATTTTGTTAGTGAATTCTGTTAAAATATTAACGGTGATTACTCAGACGCCATTTGGAACAAATTTGCAAAACGACATAGTTTTTGTGAAAAAAAAAATTAACAAAAAATGCAGAAAATGCACCTCTATGGATGCGAACCTGGGTTAGTAGAAAGCAATGAAACTTTATTACCACTGCGCCATATACGTGTCGTTGAATTCTTGTGTCACAATAAAATAATAAACTTTGAGTCCGAGCGAGATCCTTCAAATCTGATCAAAACTCAGTTCTCGTTCTTATCCTCTCCATTTCTTTGTCGTCAATGTATGATGCGCACATTAATCTCCATTTCTTAGTTGATTTTACTCCATTTATGGCTTAAAGCTACACTTGTGAAGTCAATTGGTTTTTTAGGTTTCTTTATTGAATCTTATCCTATAATAAATAGTGGTTTTTCCAGTTTCCTTGTTCAGTTTCAGGGATTTAGGGTTTTTGCTGTTCATATTCTTCTTGGTTTATCTACATTCAGGTAAGGATTGACGAAAGAGAATCAATCAGATATGAGAATAGATCTCAATTTTGGTAAATGTTGTGGCTCTAAAAAGGTCTGTTGATATTTTTTTCTTTCTAAAAAACCCTTAGATTTGTTCGATTTTGGAATCTCTGAAGTTTTCTGAATTATGGAGAAGGAATAGGGAGATGAGAGGTCGGTTTTGCTTTTTGCTTATCAGAGTCTAAGGTGTTTTGTATTTCAATTGGTTCAAAGATTTGGATTTAGCTAAGTGGTAACATAATACCATTGCTTTCTCTTAGCACATGTTCGATTTCATGGAGGTGCATTTTTTGTTAATTTTTTTTTTATAAAAACAATGTCATTTTACAAATTTGTTCTGACGAGCATGACACATGGCGTTTGATTCATCACCGTTAATATTTTAACGGAATTGACTAACAAAAATCGTGGTTTTGGCCAAAATAATATAAGTTGAGGTATGTATATTCCAATTTTTGAAAGTTCGGGTATCAATTAGCACACCAAAATTATTCAGGTACTAATCGGTACCAGTTGAACGAGTTGAAATATGAATTAGCCGCTTTTCCGTTTCCTAATATTAAAAAGTCAAATCAAGTTGAGTGATATTAACATATCTTAATGAAAATAATAAATAATTTTTAATTCGCTATTACTGATTTACTCATTCTTTTTAATTATATAGTAGTAAATGTTTATTTTTAGTCAAACAACCATTTATTTGATTGAGGTTTCCTAATCCTATCTATCCGCTATATATAACTAACCCAAAATGAAGAAAATATCATCATTTTGTTTTAAGAATTGTATAACAAACAACAGAGAAGAAAATAGTAAAAATAAATGGTAACTGTCCGGTCATTCGTCTTCAGTGTGAATACTGTGACTGCTCTGGCATTTCGTGCCAATCTCGATTTCTGGGTATTGTATTATCATTAAATATATGTTGTTTTATTTTCCCAAGCCGACAAATATAGTAAAGTTTGAGTTTGAACATACACAATAATATGGTTTGTATAAAAGATTTAGTCTAAATCATCAATTGTTTAATCTGTCACTTTTTCGTGTATAGTATAATTATGATTTCACTTTTATATGTATTAAAATGTTAGGATCCTTAAACATTAAAGAGTTTTTTTTTTTTTACTTATATTCATATTGAATAAAAGACATAACTAATACAACTTTGCAATGAAGTTTTTGAATATTTTTTTTTCCTAAATTAATTACAAACAAATTTTAATATTACAATATTTGAATTTGATATAATAAGTTTCTGTTATCTAATAAATGGTTATTATTTGTCTTCTTCAAAAATCCATATTTGTATAATTTGAAGTTCTATATTACAAAATTGATGTTGGATTGATTGTATGTGTAGGCTTGAAGGTGGAATGGCCAGAACTAAAGGGAGTAAGTGGGCCTGAAGCAAAGAGAAAAATAGAAGGGGACAATCCACACGTTAATTACTGGTGTTATAATGCCTGAAGATGTTGATGTCTTAGCAGTCAATTGTTGTAACCGTGTCCTTCTCCGTGTCCCTGTCGGGAATTGTCTCAACGGTCCTGTTGTTAACAGTCCAAGAATCGGATGATGAACCCTATCCTATGCATGTTGTTACTCTTTATGTTATGTTTGATGTTTTAGCTTCAACAACTTTTTCTATAAGTTGTTTTGTTTTCTCGAATAAAAGATATGTAGTCTGGTCATATCGTTTGTTTTGAAAAATCAAAGCTTGAGATATTATTGAGTTATAGTTTCGCATATTCATTTGGTCAAGATTTTTGTGTGGTTAATTAAGTACCTTTCTTTTCTTGGTAAGAAATTAAGTTTATATAAGTTTACACAGTAACACGTGATCATATTAGGCATGTATATATTGGTTAATTCTTGTCTACCCAAGAACAAGAAGACAAGAAGACAAGAAGACGAGAAGAAGGTAACAACTAATGGTGTTGAGATTGGAGTTTTTATATTTTAATGAAATGTTTAGAGACTGACTACTGTATATAGAAATGAGCTAATACATACATATTCATACATACAGTAGCAAACATATGCTATATACAGTATACTATATTAGTGTTTACTTTTCAGGATCGTTTTGGTTTTGGTTGTAATTTCTAGGTCTGAATTAGTTTGGCTTACACTGGGCTTTTAAAACGTAATATCTTTGTTCATATGTAGCTATCCATAGTTGGATCATATGTAGATTGTTCTGATATCCATTGCTTCGTCATTATCTTTAATCTCTAAAAATTATATGAAACATATAAATTTTAACAATAAATATTCATGAGTTTTAACTTTTTAGTAATTTTTGTGTA